CTGCAAGCGCGCCGCGGGGGAGCGCCAAGCCGTGCTCGTGCGCCCGGGGCCCAGCCTGACCGAGGGCCCGCGTTCCCGGTTTCAGATCTTGGAGAAGAGACCAGGGAATCTGCATTCTCGTCCACTTGCTTTCCGCTTGTGGGTCGCACGCGTTGGGCAGCGAGCGGCAACCAAAGCGAACTCAGGAAGGGCGAGAAACGGCCAGGGGCGTCAGAGAGTCGGGGCCAGAAAGGCAAGGAAGGCCCCTGGACAGACGGCCGATGCCCCCACCCGGCCCTAGCGCGCTGCCACCACACAGGCCTCCCGCCGCCCTCAGCCCGCCCAGGGGTAGCTCCCGCAAAATCTCCCTCGCTGGTCCCCCACCTGCCGCCCCCGCGGCACTCCAGCACCCTCCCCTCCCCACCAGGCCAGAACTATACTACACGACTTAGTAAGTCCAGAGAGGAAGACAAAGGGCCTTGGCATTAGTTGTGCTTCCAAGGCTTAACCTCCTGACCCCGAGAGTATACGGACCCTCAGAGAAACATCATTACACTGTCGCCCGAAACCTTTAAGAAATCGGCCACCCCACCCTCTGAGGGGGCCCGGGACATTTCGGGTTGGTCCAAACAACAGGGGCGTGGCTGCCCCTGGACAAAATCCACCAGAACCTTAGTCTCTGCTGAGAAGGGTCTCCCATACCTGTTGAGGCTGTCCGGGGACCTGAGGTTTTGCATACAATTTCCTCCTACTTTTTGAGTTTAAATGCTGATGGCTGAGCTTAAAGCTTTTGCTTAAAATACACTTTTATTCTTACATTTACTATTACAGGTTTACATAAACTACCCTTAGAGATTAAAAAACATTGAAGCATTAAGGTTTTTACGGCTTAAGTAGGTTAAAGGAAACAGCTACAGAAAACGGGTAGGAATTTGGACTGAATGAGAATGCAATTTCTTCTAAAGGGTTCTCTGCTATTTAGTTAACCAGGTGTCTAAATTAACATAAAACTTCCTTCCCTCAAGCCATACATGGAAAAGGAAAGCAGCTGGAAGATAATCCATGCTATGTTTTTTTTTTTCCTGCTAAAAAAATTGCATAACTTTACACACCCAATTGTTCCTTTAAATCGATTTAAAATGGGAAGATTTGATAAAGCTTCATATATACATGAAGGTTTCATTGATATCATTGTCTCTACCTTTCTGTCTGCAATGTTTCATAATAAAAGTACAACACACAAAAATCACTTGAATAAATGTTGGTATTTTATATTATATTTATTAATCTAGTCATATGAAAAACTACAGAAGCACACAGTGAATAATTTTTTCTTTTAGAATGTGCCCAGGCATACTGACACAATAGCTGAATCTAAAATTGTTAGGATCTACTAAAATAATACAGAATATTTAACAGTTTTTAAACTGAGAATTTGTAAAAGAGTTACATAAAGAATTGTGTGTAAATAAATGTTAATGCCTTTTGGTTTCCACTCTCTGGAAAACTACTAAGCGGACCTCTCTGCCCTTACTGCATCACAGACTTTTCAGTGCTGGAGTATTATCTGGCATTTAGAAAACCCCCTGGCATCTGAATCTGTTAAAATAGCAAGCTATCTAACAGGAAAAAAAATAACTTTATATTTATTAATGTAGAGACTCAGATGCTTCATTAGCATCAAAATTAATCAATTTATTAACCACTCATCAGCCTTTTCTTCATTAACTGATTTTACAGAAGCAAACTTTCTGAGGCAGTGAACCTATAGAGTTTAAATAAATTTAGTTCAATTCTATATTGTTATGTATTTCTTCTAATGTCTAATCAAATTTGTTACCTTCCAACAACTTGTTATGGGTTAAGTGTAATTTCTTCTCAGTCTCTAGACTTCACAAATTTGCATGATTGTTTTAATGGTGTATTTACCGGTAAGTTTTTATTTGCACATAAGGACAAAAAGGTGAAGTGAAATTTGGTCCCAATGGAAACCTGTTAGGTTCCCTGAACATATGGCTCATTGGGCTGTTACTTCCTTTCTGAGATCATTTTCCAAGATTTTTTAATATATACATCAATTTGACACCAGTTATAAAGAAAATATATTGGCTTTGAAGATGCTTCCACCTGGGGTATATCTCTTAATAACAAACCGTCTAGTCAGGTGTACCTCTCAATGTATAGGTTTCCAGTCTCCAAATACAGGGCATAATTTGAAAACAGTCAGAACCAACAGTTGATTTACACTATCTTTGAAATTAGGTGATTCTTTGCATTCT